GGTCACACGTTGATATCTGGCCGCGTGGCGGCGGGCCTGTTTGGTTTAGGGCATACACGGCAAGTGCTGTAAGTTACATGACTTCGTGCGTGAGCCTGTGGAATTGGAGGGATTCGTGCTTCAGGAAAATCCGGGGACTAAAACTTAGGGCACTCATGTTAGCACACGTTCCCGAAGTGATCCGCGACATCCGCTTTGGGACCCTACTGCGAGCGCCAGACCAGCTGTAGATGTATCCAACGAGGTGCACGTTGTATAAAGAGGCGAAATCGCCGTAAATAGCAGGGTTTTGGGCATGCCTTCAAAAGGGCATGAACACTTGTGACAGCGCCTCGTGTTGCTGAACATCAAACATCCTTTTGCAACATGTTGTATAAAGATGCAAAAATGCTGCAAATAGCAGGGCTTTGGGCATGTTCGCTAATGTCATGAACACTTGTGACCCCGCCTCGTGTTGCTGAACATCAAACATCCTCCTGCACACGTGGTATAAACAGGAGGGCATTCTGTAAATAGCAGGGTTTTAGGTTGGTTTGTGTAACATGGTCGTAACCACCCCCCGACCCCCAAAACCCCCCACCCCTCACCCCTCCAACCCCCTTTGCCTTGCAAGAGAAATCACCGAAAGATAGCAGAATCCTAGGAAAAGCACATGGCCAGATACGTGCGTGTAGGCTTAGGGCTCTGGGTTTAGAGACTTAGCTAGGTGGCTGCAGAGTGCAATTGAAGCCGTCCTGGCAGCCTTGATTTAAGTTTTCGGTCCCGTCTGGTAATCGATGTATCTTCGTTCATGTGTCGATCCCCGTTGCGCTTCTGCATTCCAGGATTGAGAACCACATGTTCGTTTTGTGGTGCTGTTGAAGCCCTGGGGAGAAGAAAACCCATAAGGCTGACGGAGCTCCACTTGTAAAGCTTGAATTGCCTGCCCTTAAGTGAACCGTGAACCGTGCTCGCTGTCAATGGGTCTATCGGATGCAGAAACATGAGGGTAAAGGGTCTTGCGTAGCAGGTTCGATGATGCGGAGTAAAGACTCGAATTTGGCATCGAGGCACCGAAATCCGCGCGAAAAGAGCATCTCATGTGAAGGACCGGGCGACGATCGAAGAGACGATCCACAGCTGGTTCGGAGATGTTGAGGTGCTCTCTGTCTTCTTTTTTTCTCCGGAGCGCTTGTAATGACTTGTGTTTAGAGCAGTGCATTCCTGGCAGAGAACGTGGACGTCTTATTGCTTCGTCGCTGGCTAACTGCAGTAGCGGTAGGTGCCCCTAAGGCCTTTCGGCAGTTCACAATATGAAAGCATTGCGCAGGCAGGGTTTGATCCAGCAGTGGGGTGATCTATGTTGCAGCAATGTAATGTAGCAGACGGTTGTTGTGACGCCGGCTCGTTGTTGTGATGTCCAGCGCTTTCATGATATGCTGCATCCCCTAAACCCTAAACCCTAAACCCTAAACCCTAAACCCTTAACCCAAGTGGCAATGGAGGTGTGCAACCGCCAGATCCGTGAGACGATCGGAGACAAGGCCTGAAGTTGGTCGGGCCTTACCCCCAAGCCCTCAACCTTAAACCCTACAGCAAACCCTAAACAAACCCTAAACCTTAAACCCTACACCCTAAACCCTTAAACCCTAAACCTTAAACCCTTAAACCCTAAACCTTAAACCCTAAACCTTAAACCTTACACCCTAAACCCTAAACCTTAAACCCTAAACCCTAAACCCTAAACCCTTACACCCTAAGCCCCGTTGCCCCAGCCTGAAGCCAGGGCCCGGTGAAGGCCGGGCCTGAGCCGAAAAGCCTCGGTCTTCAGTCCGACCATGTGGGTTTAGGGCTTTGGGTTTAGGTTTTAGGGCCATCTGGGTACCCCTAGGCCCCATAGCAGTTCAGGAAAGTTTAGGACTATAGGGTTTAGGAAAGTTTAGGGTTTAGGGAAGTTTAGGGTTTAAGGTTTAGGAAAGTTTAGGGTTTAGGGTTTAGGAAAGTTTTTGTGGCTTATATTTAGGATCCTATAAGGTAATCCCAAAAAGGAACTACTATGGGGCCATGGGCAGCTCTCTAGAGTAGTTAGGGTCGGTTGAGGTTTTAGGGTTCAGGGTTTAGGGTTTTAGGGTTTAGGGTTTAGGGGTTGATGGTTGAATGTAGGGGCCTTAATATTTGCCTATACTGTTTTGGGGCGTTCCTTAATATAGTTATACTATAAAGGACCCCAAAAACCCTATTCAAATTATGAAGGCCCCTGCATTCGGGTCAGTCGATGGTTTAGGGTCTAGGGTCCGTTTCAGGGTCCTTTTCATACGGGCGCCGTAGCATCTGGGGGGATTACTCCCCAGGTATCTGCAGGTCTTCAAGGTTTCTTACTTCGCGCAGAAAAGTTCCCAGGCTCCAGGGTGTTCAGGACGTAGCAGCAACAACCACAAGCTTACGTCCTGGCAGACCCCATAAGCCATAATTAGTTTCGGAGAGCTCTATGTGGTTTTCTGACAGAAGAGCTTCAGAACGCTAGTCCTGTTCTTGCACCCCATTCTAGCTATTGTGATGGCGCAGAGGTACCTCCCAAGAATGTCGTGATATGATACTCCTCAAGGCCCCATAAGCCTGGACAGAGCCCCGTAAGTGAGCCCGTCTAATTAAAGCCTAAAGCCAATCGCACAGAACCGACATCCTCAAGCCTATGTCCGCAGCTTTAAAAAGCCCTAAAGCCCTGCAAACCCTGATCCCTCAACACGAAATATCCCAAGCCTAAGCCCTAAACCCTAAACCCTGAATCCTAAACCCCTCAACCCTGATGTAATCCTAAACCCTGAACCCTTCAAGTCCCCTACACGCCAGACCACCCGCAGCCCTGTGAGTCCCAGGGTTTAGGGTTTAGGGTTTAGGGTTTAGGGTCCCACCCATGAGTACCAAAACCCAAGTTTAAACCCGAAACCTGTTAGCTTAGGGGTTTGGGGTTTAGGTTCTATAGGGTTTAGGGTTTAAGCGGGTTTCGCGGCTTTACTTGTATGGTTTAGGCTTTAGGCTTTAGGGGCCTGGGGTTCAGGGTTTGGGCCTAGGGCTCGTAAACACATGGTTGCTGAAATTTGGGAGCCCCAAGCCATGCTTGCTAACTGGGAGTTTCTCGAATGGTGTGTCCTGACGGTACAAGCATCCCACCTATAGTCTCCATTGTCGTTCCTTTCTGCATCAACCAAGGTTATATTACAGGATCCTAATCGTAAATTTGGATATCCAAAAAAGGAACTACAATGGAGACTGTGGGTACTAAGTTAAGTACTTAGGGCCGGGGTCTTAACGAGGGCCGTAGGGGACCCGACCATTCTTAAACTCTGTAACTCCCATGTCAGGTCAGCCATAAATCGTTTTCCCTAAGCCCCTAACTCCAAGCCCCAAACCCCGAAAGTCCCAAAGCAATACAGGCGTCAGGTCACAACAACGATACAAGAATTACAATGACAGCCATCATCATCATCATCATCCCTAAACCCTAAACCCTAAACCCTAAGCCCTAAACCCTAGACCCTAACCCTAAAACCCTAAACCCTAAACCCTAAAACCC